CGGCCCACCCAGGGGCCCCTCCACGTGCAGCCGCCACCTGGGTTCCCATATCTCGCGCCGCCGCAGGCCCCTCCGCCGCCCCCCGCCGAGCAGCAGCAGCGCCGGGGCGGGCGTCGCGGCCGAGGTGGCCGCAAGCAGCAGCAGCAGCCGCCAGCTGCCCATGGCGGGGTGCCGCGCCAGTTGCAGCACCCGCTCCCGCCGGCGCCCTGGCAGGCCGGCCAGAACCTCTGGACGAGGGTTGTTCACGCATACTCCATGCCCATACCGCGCGCCCCCGTCCCCGGTGTTTTTGGCGCCCGCCCGACCCCTCATCAGGCTCTGTATGCGGACCCTCAGGCGTATCCGCCGGCGCCGCTCTACGGCCCCTCGGCAGCCTATGGGCTGCCTCCGACCGGTGGGCTCGTGGCACCGCCGCCACAGCCTCTGCCGTCGGCCCCGGCCCTCCCGCCGGCACCATGGGACCCCGCGCTGCTAGCGGCCCTCCACACCGCCCCACGCCATAGTAGTACACTTGCGGTGGCGACTGGTACATGGACACCGGAGCCACGGCTCACATGGCTGCCAACCCCGGTAACCTTCTTACCGCTCACCCTGTTCACACTGCTGCTCGCATTACCGTGGGCGACGGTTCATCCATGCCCATCACTCATGTCGGCCATGCTGCTTTTCCTTCTAACTCCGTTCCATTACATCTTTCTAACGTACTTGTTTCACATGACATCATTAAAAATCTTGTTTCTGTTCGTTCTCTTACACGTGAAAATCCTGTCACCATTGAATTTGACATGTTTGGCTTTTCTGTTAAGGATGCCCGTACCCGGATGGTGCTCCACCGATGGGACAGCCCCGACGATCTCTATCCAGTCCACTCCTCCACATCCTCCATCGCTGCACCCATGACGCTTTCCGCTGGAGTGGACCTTTGGCATGCTCGTCTTGGTCATCCCAACCCTGCCACCCTTCGTCATATTCTTCACAGTTTTTCATTCACGTGTAATAAGATCGACGATCACACTTGTCATGCTTGTCGTCTCGGCAAACATACTCATTTACCCTTTAGCACTTCCTCGCATGTTGCTTCATACCCATTTGAGTTAATTCATAGTGATATTTGGACCTCTCCTGTTGCAAGTAACACGGGCTATCTCTATTATCTTGTTATCCTTGATGATTTTTTGCACTATGTGTGGACCTTCCCGTTGCGGCGAAAGTCGGATTCTGTTGCCACTCTCACCGCATTCTACTCCTATGTCTCCACGCAGTTTGGTCGCCCCATTCATGCGTTGCAAACAGACAATGGGAAGGAGTTCGATAATCTTGCAATCCGCAACCTTCTCGCTACACACGGCACGATTTTTTGTCTCACTTGCCCATACACTTCGCAACAAAATGGCCGCGCTGAGCGCGTGCTTCGCACTCTTAATGACTGCGTTCGCACCCTCCTCTTTCACGCCAACGTGCCACCACGTTTCTGGCCCGACGCGCTCGCCACCGCATCACTACTCCTCAACATCCGTCTCTGTCGCACTCGCGGGAATTTTGCACCTCATCATCTTTTATTCGGCACGCCACCTTCCTACACCGAGCTTCGCATTTTCGGTTGCTTGTGCTACCCTAGCATCGCTTCCACTACTTCTCATAAGCTCGCACCACGGTCTGTGGCCTGTATTTTTCTTGGCTATCCCCCGAACACCAAAGGCTACCGCTGCTATGATCCTATCTCACATCGGGTCATCACTTCCCGACACGTTTACTTTGATGAGATGGTGTTTCCGTTTCAGCAGGTACCTTCGGATGTTGCGGCCTTGCCCGCTCCTGGTGACGGCCGCTCGGGCGCATCTCTCGGGCCGCCCCCTAGCTTTGAGGGTGCCCCCCGTGCCCCGGGTCGAGTTCCTCCCCGACCGGCTTCCTTAGGGGCTGCACCCCTCTCGGCGCCTGCGACGCCCCTTGCGCCACCATCGGCGCGAGCCTCCTCGGCGCCCCCCGTGCCCTCGCCGGCGGCCTCGCCTGCGGCGGCCTTCCCTGCGCCCTCGCCGGCGGCCTCGCCCGCGGCCTCAGTGGCGGCGGGCTCTTCTTCGTCCTCGCCCGTCGCCCCGGACTCGCTGCCCCGCCCGATGACTCGCTCTTGGGCCGGTACCTTCCGGCCGAGTACGCGGTACACCCGTGATGAGTATCTTCTCGCCACTTCCGTCTCCGAGCCGTCCCCTCTCCCATCGTCAGCTCGAGCCGCCCTTCGGGACCCTCATTGGCTCGCTGCGATGCAGGAAGAGTTCGATGCGCTCCAACGGAACCGCACCTGGCAGCTTGTCCCTCGGCCACCTTGTGCCAACATCATCACGGGCAAGTGGGTCTTTCAGCATAAGACTCGTCCCGACGGGACTCTCGAGCGCTACAAAGCTCGTTGGGTGGTTCGATGCTTTCGGCAACGTGCGGGCGTGGACGTCACCGACACTTTTGCTTCGGTTGTTAAACCGGGCACGATCCGCACCGTGCTTCAGCTGGCCGTCTCCCGAGCTTGGCCCGTGCATCAGTTGGACGTCTCCAACGCCTTCTTGCACGGACACCTCGCCGAGCAGGTGTTCTGTGAGCAGTCCACCGGCTTCATCGACGCCACACATCCGGATCATGTGTGCTTGCTCTCCCGTTCTCTTTACGGGTTGAAGCAGGTGCCTCGGGCCTGGTACCAGCGCATCGCTGCCTTCCTGCAGACGCTCGGATTTACATCGACCCGCTCCGACGCGTCCCTCTTCGTGTACCATCACGGGGTTGAGACGACCTACTTGTTACTCTACGTCGACAACATCATCCTGACGGCTTCCACTGTCGCGCTTGTCCAGCGGCTTATTGCTCGTCTTCGCAATGAGTTTGCCCTGAAGGACTTGGGGCCCCTCCACTACTTCCTCGGCATTGAGGTGGTTCGATGGCCAGATGGGTTCTTTCTGCAGCAGCAGCGTTACGCCCATGAGCTTCTCGATCGTGCCGGCATGCTTAACTGCAAGCCTGCTCCCACACCTGTTGACACCAAGGCCAAGGTTTCAGCTCTGGAGGGCTCTCTCGCATCCGACGCGGCCTTCTATCGCTCCATTGTGGGTGCCTTGCAGTACCTCACTCTGACGCGCCCCGACTTGCAGTATGCCGTTCAGCAGTGACTCTCACTGGACCTTGGTGAAGCGTATCCTCCGTTACATACGTGGCACTCGTCCATGGGACTTACACTACGGCCTCCACCTCTACCGACCTCGTCGCCTACTCTGATGCGGACTGGGCTGGCTGCCCGGACACACGGCGCTCCACTTCGGGGTACTGTGTCTACCTTGGGCCGTCTCTGATCTCTTGGTCTTCCAAGCGACAGCCCACAGTCTCTCGCTCGAGTGCCGAGGCAGAGTATCGGGCAGTGGCTAACGCCGTTGCCGAATGCTCTTGGCTTTGTCAGCTGCTCCAGGAGTTGCTTTGTGATGTTCACAAGGCCACACTCGTCTACTACGACAACGTCTCCGCCGTGTACCTCTCCGCCAACCCGGTCCATCATCGACGAACGAAGCACATTGAGCTCGACATACACTTTGTTCGTGAGCAGGTGGCCCTTGGGCGCATCCGGGTCCTCCATGTCCCGACGGCACAACAGTTTACCGATGTTATGACAAAGGACTGCCTACTTCTGTTTTCGAGGAGTTCAGGTCCAGTCTTTGCGTCTCCGGCGACGCTTCGACTGCGGGGGGGTGTTGAATATATGGTTTGTGCATGTATATTGTATAGTCCGGCCCACCTCCTAGTCATTGTATAGTTGAGTGTGGCCCACCTTGTACTCCATATATACGTGCGCTATGCACCGATCAATACATCGAGTTGCATTGCCAAAATATTCGTTTCCAACATTACCGAACTGGGGATTAACACATTCACTAATCAATCTAGATTACTATCCTATGATGTAAGCAAATGCCATCCCAGAAAATGATTAAAGACATATTAGTAGCATGTCCAAAATCCCAATTTTTACATGCGCTGAAACTGCAATCTGATCTGATTCAGTTGTCTCACATATAGTATGTCCAAGATCAACATTACACTGCATACGACATTTACCCCTAATGAAGCTAGTTAAGATAGCCACGGTCGCCCAGAAATTAATTTGACACAAATTTGGAGCATGCAGCAGAGTAATCTGATCCGACTGCACTGAAATCAAAAGGTTGCATGAACTAGAGAGCATATATAGATGAACTAAGCGACTGGCAGGAGCTCCTCTACGACCAGCAATGCAACTGAAATCAAAAGGTTCCAGATCATGTATGCTGGTTCTATACTTCCATCTTCAATATAATGATTCAAAAGAAGGAGTAGGGACATCAGAACAACACACATAATGACATTAAGAAGAAGGCCGCCAAACATTCTGGATAACAGGGACTTCAAGCAAACTTTCCCAGATAAACCAGCATTCAGGACGATTCGGCTAAAAAAAGGCGTGTAGGAGGATTGCCAAACACACTAGAATGTTGTTACGCCACATTCAAGAAAACATGATTCACAAACTGGGGATGCAAGCAGCTAGGATCTGAACAGAAAAATGGCATTAGAGAACATGATTACTAAAACACATAGTAGTAGCACGTCCAAAATCCCAATTTTGTCATGCGATTCGATTCCATCTTCCACGAACAAGATGCAGCTACGACATTCGAACTACTACGATACATGAAGCTAATTAAGATATCTCCTGAGATTCGATTCGATCATTTGTCCCACAGATAAGATGAGATGCAGATCAACATGATCACAGTACTACATTGATTACCCCTAATTGATATGATGAAGCTAAGATAGATAGCCACGGCCGTCCATGAATGAATTGAGCACAAATAGAAGAGCACGGCAGCAGATAAATCTGACCAAACTGAACTGAAACCACAGGCCTGTCTGTCTGGATTGGTAAGTTAAAGAGAAGACTGATAAGGAGAGCATGGCTTGATCGATGAGGTGAAGTAGTCAATTGGATGCTAGATAGAATCATAGAAACCCTCCTGCAGCAAGCGAACCAATGGATTCGACCGTCAGATCCATCCATGGATTCATCATTTTCATCTAGGACTAGGAGGAAGGAGACGAAAAGAGCAAAGGTTTGGAGAGTTTGGACAGACCTCGGAGATGTAGGCGTGGTCGTCGCAGAACTCGGCGAGGCTGGCGAGCTTCTTGGGGTCCATGAAGCGGGAGAGGACGGCGACCGCGACGGCGACGTCGATGTGCTTCACGGCGAGGCCCGCGATCCTGTTTGCGCGGTACAGGTAGTCGAGCGACTTGCCCACGTCGCCGCCGCCGCCTCTGGCTGCCTGACGGGGCTTGCTGGAGCCGGACTTGGCGGTGGCGGTGGCGTCCGGGTCGTCGGAGAGGTCAACCTTGGCGAGGGCCTCGGAGGCGGCGGCGACCGGGTTGTCGTCCCTGTCGGGGCTGCTGTCGGGCGAGGAGGAGTCGGCGTTCTTGCCGGGGACGGGGGCCTCGCCGCCGATGAGGCACTTGACGCAGCGCGGGAGGAGGTGCTCCTCCAGCAGCTTGATGGCCAAGACGGCGACCATGACGCGGTCGATGGGCTGGGGCGGGCCGGGAACTGCTGCGCGAGCAGCGCGTCGTGGAGCTGCTCGTCCGGCATGACTGCGAAAGCCAGGTTGGGCGGGGAGAAGCGAATGCCCTTCTCCGCGGCGAGGTGGACGCAGGTCGTGAGGATGCGGGCGCCGGCCTCCAGGCCGATGTAGTAGACCTTGAAGAGGTTGGAGGCGAGCTCCCTGAGCTTGGCGTCCGCGTCCGCGTCCGCCTCAACGACGGCGGGGGTGGCGTCGGCCTGGAGGTCCTGCAGGCGCTGCTGGAGCTGCAGGAGGCGGTCGCGCTGCGCCCGCACCGTCTTGGCGGCCAGCATGGCCTGCATGAGGACGGATTCGATGTCCTTCTTGCTCCCCTTTCCCGCCATGGCCGCGCTCTCTCTCGCTCGCTCGCCGGAGGTGGGCCTTATTGAGAAGGAAGGAAGGAGACCATAGAAAGGTTGGAGCTTTAGGGCATGTACAATGATGGCATATGGATACATATGTCCCATGATAAAAAGTAATTTAAGACACCTATATCTATTTTTTCTCCCCAATGCAAGCTACCACTAATGGACCTCATTAAAAAAAATAAAAATAAAGACTCTACTACACATGTATCTCTACTTTTCACTCCAATCTTTTCAGCTTTTGTCACCGAATCACACTTTTTCTCTTCAAGCACCAGCCTACTGGAAAGGATCCCGCTTCCCTATCCGAACCTACTTTACGTCATATCCGATCCTACATGGCATGCGAGGCATCACCATGAGGCTATGCATTGTACATGCCCTTAGCTGACGAGGCGGAGGTGAAAAGAGGACGGAGGGGGGTGGGGGGCACGTGTCGACCGGTCTATTGAAGAGGACGGAGGATCCTGCTGGGTGGGCACACGTTTGACAGCTTTTGACCGGGGTCATGCTCATCCATCCACAAGGACAAAGGGTGGTGCGTTTTCGAAATTTGAAAATGCTAGGCCATACAATGAACAATTGATTCCAAGCAAGGTGACATGTTTTTTCTAACAAAATTTGGATCTACTACATGATTCTGAAAAAAAAATTGGATCTACATTCTTCTTGGTGCCAAAAAAACGCACGCGAAAAGAGACACACCTAGGGGCATAGAGTGGCCTGTTCAAGAAGATGAAGAGGGTCCAAATGAGAAACACCGTTAGGCCAACTCCACCGCGCGACCCTATCCTGTTCGGCCCCGTCCGTTTGGGGTAAAACGGACAAAGGAGGCGACCCGGACCCATCTTATCCGTTTTGTGTCCGGGTCGACCCATTTCGAGCGCAAACTTGCGCCGGGTTTGGGTCACGACGGACACCAAACGAACGCGCGTCTCGTCCGCGTCGGGGCCGTGTGGCAGGCGGCCACTTACCTCCCACCCGCCCACATAAATGCACACGAGCGGGCGGCCCCACCTGTCGTCCGCACGTTGAAGGGTCGCCGTCCTTCTTTAAGTGGGAAGTATGGACGGGTCATCGTCCACACTGCCCCACGCCATCCTGCGGCCTCCTCGAAACCCGATAGTCCCGAGTCACAAATCCTAGCCAACACCTCGCCGGCCGGCCGCCCGCAGCCATGGGCCGCAAAGGCAAGCACGACCGCAAGGCTGGTTCCTCGTCGGGACGCCACCGTGGTTCGCCATCGCCACCACGCCGGGCCCCCGCGCCGCCCGCCTTCTCCATCGCGCCCACGTCCACCGACGAGCGCGACCGGCATTACGTCCGGTCGTCGGTGTGCCGCCTCCTCCCCGACGACCTCATCTACGACCCCAGGTACGCCCCCGACTCCGGGCTCTGGGACACCTGATTTCGTGACGAGCACGACACTAGGCGCGCGTCGTTCTTCGCCGGCACCTCGACGGGGCCGCGGCGGCCACGACAGGAGCGGGAGCGTACCCGGGTGCGCGGCCTGACACCCACGCCGTCGCCTTCATCGTCACCGTCGCCACCTCCCCCTCCTCGCATGACAGCGGAGGAGGAGGCCCGTCTCCTGCAGCGTGTCATGGACGACTCCATGAACACGCACGACGAGCGGCAGTGGCACGGCCTGGAGGAGACCATGGCCCTCTCCGCCGTCGGGGACGTCGCCTTCCCGGAGATGGCGGCCGTCACAGAGGAGACGACGGAGGAGGCGTTGCCGGCGGCGTTCCAGCAGCTGCTGGGCCAGGGGTGGGGCTGGTCCTGCATTGCTCCGGAGATGGCTGCCGGCGTGGGCGTGGACTGGTGCCCCACTCCGCCGCGGTCACCGGAGCGGGAGGCGTCGCCCCGGGAGGAGGTGGTGCAGGCACCTCCGGCCGTCCAGCCAGCCCCCGTCTACCACGCACCGCCGGCCCATTTATGGACGCCGCCGGCCTACGTCGACCTCGTCAGCGACGACGACGACACCGACGGCTAGTGAAGACGGCGACGGCCGCGGCACCGACGGGCGCGGCAGGAGCGGGCGGGAGGCGTTTTTTTATATGTTAATTATGAAACTGGGCCTTTTAAGTGGCCGTGGAAACTGGGCCGTTTTGTGGCCGACCCCTATATATGTTTTATGTTTTTTTAAATGCGTTTATTTACTTTTTTACTTATTTCATTCTAGTTTTTATATATTTTTTATTCATGTCCACCCCGGACACGATTTGGGGTGTGGCCACGCGGTGGGCGCACGCACGCCCCATCTGACAAAGCCGGACACGGGCGAATCCATCGACGTCCGAAAGGGACAAAATCCGACCAATCCGGACGTCTGTTTGGGGTCGCGCGGTGGAGTTGGCCTGAGCTTTGGCTTATGTTCCTCGCACCACTGAATCCTTTGGGTTTTGGCCGCGCAAGGTTGCAAGTGATCCTTGTTCCATTGCAGAAGTAGCCAAATATATGTCTCCTACTCCACCACCGCCATCGAGATCAATGGACTATCAAGGTGAAGTACTCCTATGGTGAAGGTGAAGGCGACGACGTGGGCATCAGGCCGCGCGAGAACGTAGGGGTGTCAGATGGGAAGATATAAATCAAATTGGGCCCAGTGGCACAATTATGACTGGTAGCGCGAGGCTCCGGAAGGATCTTTCCAAAACTCTGCTAATTTTGGTTCAGCTCCCATCAGCGAGCAATGAGACAAGATGGCCTATGAGGTGTATGCAAGGAGAGTAGTGTACTGGAATGATGCTCTTGTCGGCGGCCATATTCTCGGAACGCAACAGAGCAACTGGTGCCACAGAGGAACCTTCAAGATCCTTCTCAAGATAAGTTCAACCATTGCATGAAATGTGGTATTCATGGGCACTTACATGTTGATTGCCCTATGATCAGGTGCAAGCAATGTATTAAGCTTGGTCATATTACTCAGATTTGCCACGCAATCATGCCTTATGAATGCATTGGGTTGTTCGTGGGTTACGGTCTCTTGGCCTAGGGTTTATATTTCCTTGACTATAGTTAAGTTAAGGAACGATCTAGTAGTGTTGTTATCACTGTTAGTCAGGGTAGTGCTACTTCTAGGAAAATCAAAACGAGATCTCCTTGTAGGAAGAGTGCGATTGCGTCTACACCTAGTATTTTTTTGCCCATGTCTCACACATGATTCTTTCCAAATCTCTTACGCACGATCCTTTCCAAATCTGATTGCCTCCTTATTTTTGGCAAGAGATGGTGGGCTATAAAACCGATGGTTTGTATGGTAAAAATATCGGTGGAAGAAAAACCATATCGAAGAGGGGTTGTTTCTTCGATCGATGGGAGGAGTAACGAACGAACTAAACAAGGTACGAACTGCTCCATTAGAAGTAGAGATTAGGGAACATAAACAAAAGACATGTATTTGCAAACTTCGAATCTTAAACTAAATATTTAAAACAAATAACTAGTCACGCAGGAATCACTAGAGACCTTGTCCTTTTATCGCCAAGAACTTCCATAGATTCGTTTCGAGCAAGTAGGGACAAGATTACATACAAAAATAACTAATTTTTTTTGGGGGTTGCTGGATGTGCAGACCGCACAGGTTGGGACGGATGTGCTCTCTTTTTGGCACAAAAATAACTAAAATGAGGCAGAAAATCACCAAACATGCAAGAGAAGGGACAACTAGCACACTATGCCTCATGCATTGTCCCATATAACCAACTAGCATTTACTCCCCCAGTCTCACAATATAGGACGTTTTTGCAAGCTAATATAACTTGCAAAAATGTCCTATAATGTGGGACGGAGGAAGTACGATGCAGTCCATGAGTTTCTTTGTGACTGTCGATCATCTCTTCATCATTTCAGAAGAAGAAAAAATTGACCAGAAGAGAATCACTGTTATGCCTTTCTGGTGAATACTCACAAACCGGGCATCATCATCATGGACGTATCATTATGCAAGATTGATAGCAATCCTAGAATTGGAGCTAATGACATGACATAACATGATCAAACATAGCGTGCCCAAAATCACAAATTTGACATCCATTGCGCGCAGCAATTCGATTCAATCCGGTTGTCCTACTAGGACACTAATAAGATGCAGATCAACATTACAGTAGATAATCAGGCACGCTGCTGACTATGTACTGCATGCAGAAGAAAACATGATTTGCAAACTGGGGATGCAAGCTAGGTAGCTAGCTAGGATCCCAACAGAAAAATGGCATCACAAAACATGATTATTAAAACACATAGAGATAGTAGTAGCACGTCCAAACTCCCAATTTTTGTCATGTGATTTGATTCAATCGTCCCGTAGATAAGAACAAGATGTAGTTCAACATTGAACTGATGAGCCTTGCTCCGGTGCACCCCCCTAACTCAATTTCCTAGGGGAATTCTTGACCCCCGCCATCTATTTTTTTCTCCGGCCTGCCTCTGCCCATATCAAAGCCCCGTAGCCCATATCCAAGCCCCGTATAACCCATATGACCCATACATATGTATACGGTGACATCCTGAAAAAAAAAAGGATGACACGACCCCATGACCAGGTAGGACCTGCCGACGGCCGATCCATCGTTCACGCAGCTCAATCAATCACGCAGCTCCATCATTCACGCAGCTCCTCCATCATTCTGGTGAGGTTCTTTAGGAATATCGGCGGCGGCGATCTTATCGCCGGCGATCTCGTCCGAGAGCGCGCGCGGCACCGTCGTCAACCTCCAGCGCTCGCAGGTACCGCATCTCGTTTCCACACGTTTGTCTCGCTCGCGGCAACATCAAACGAACTGCCGCTGTTTTTGTCGTAGTGGTTAACCTAGCGGGGCGGGTAACCTAGCTTTCTGGCGGTCCAAGCCATCGCAGATCTTGTTCTGGTAGTGCTGCTCGTCATGATATACACAATGATCACGTGAGCTAAAGTGGGTTTCTTCTTTCTAGGGTTAACCTAGCGTCGGTTGCCGTCCGTTGTGTGCACGACGGCT